ACCGACCCCGTGACCTCGACACCGTCCTTGAAAAATCTATTTTCAATTATTTTCAAATAAATCAAAATACTTTGCATATATGCTGTTAGAAAATCTTACAAACTATTTTTATGTAACATCTTTCTTCATTTTTAACCCGAAAAAGGGTTATTTTTCAATTTTAAACAGAAAAAGGGTTATTTTGCAATTTTAACCCGAAAAAGGATTATTTTGCAATTTTTTAAGAATTTTTTGATTTTTTCAATTTTTTATTATTATTTTTTATTATTTATTGTTGTTTTTTCAATTTTTAGTTAGTAACCTATAATATTGTGTCTAATTTTAAGTGTCATTAAAATCAAATGTTTTTAACTTAATAATTTTAACATTTCTTAATTTAAAACGAAACATCTTCTATTATATTAAGTTAACAAATTTCGAAAAACAACCCCGACACCGTGACCTCGACACCGTCCTTGAAAAATCTATTTTCAATTATTTTCAAATAAATCAAAATACTTTGCATATATGCTGTTAGAAAATCTTACAAACTATTTTTATGTAACATCTTTTTTCATTTTTAACCCGAAAAAGGGTTATTTTTCAATTTGTTAAGAATTTTTTGATTTTTTCAATTTTTTATTATTATTTTTTATTATTTATTGTTGTTTTTTCAATTTTTAGTTAGTAACCTATAATATTGTGTCTAATTTTAAGTGTCATTAAAATCAAATGTTTTTAACTTAATAACTTTAACATTTCTTAATTTAAAACGAAACATCTTCAATTATATTAAGTTAACAAATTTCGAAAAACGACACCGTTCTTGAGAAATCTATTTTCAATTATTTTCAAATAAATCAAAATACTTTGCATATATGCTGTTAGAAAATCTTACCAACTATTTTTATGTAACATCTTTTTTCAATTTTAACCCAAAAAGGGTTATTTTGCAATTTTTTAAGAATTTTTTGATTTTTTCAATTTTTTATTATTATTTTTTATTATTTATTGTTGTTTTTTCAATTTTTAGTTAGTAACCTATAATATTGTGTCTAATTTTAAGTGTCATTAAAATCAAATGTTTTTAACTTAATAACTTTAACATTTCTTAATTTAAAACGAAACATCTTCTATTATATTAAGTTAACAAATTTCGAAAAACGACACCGTCCTTGAAAAATCTATTTTCAATTATTTTCAAATAAATCAAAATACTTTGCATATATGCTGTTAGAAAATCTTACAAACTATTTTTATGTAACATCTTTTTTCAATTTTAACCCAAAAAGGGTTATTTTGCAATTTTTTAAGAATTTTTTGATTTTTTCAATTTTTTATTATTATTTTTTATTATTTATTGTTGTTTTTTCAATTTTTAGTTAGTAACCTATAATATTGTGTCTAATTTTAAGTGTCATTAAAATCAAATGTTTTTAACTTAATAATTTTAACATTTCTTAATTTAAAACGAAACATCTTCTATTATATTAAGTTAACAAATTTCGAAAAACGACACCGACCCCGTGACCTCGACACCGTCCTTGAAAAATCTATTTTCAATTATTTTCAAATAAATCAAAATACTTTGCATATATGCTGTTAGAAAATCTTACAAACTATTTTTATGTAACATCTTTTTTCATTTTTAACCCGAAAAAGGGTTATTTTTCAATTTTAACCCGAAAAAGGGTTATTTTGCAATTTTAACCCGAAAAAGGATTATTTTGCAATTTTTTAAGAATTTTTTGATTTTGTCATTTTTTTATTATTATTTTTTATTATTTATTGTTGTTTTTTCAATTTTTAGTTAGTAACCTATAATATTGTGTCTAATTTTAAGTGTCATTAAAATCAAATGTTTTTAACTTAATAATTTTAACATTTCTTAATTTAAAACGAAACATCTTCTATTATATTAAGTTAACAAATTTCGAAAAACGACACCGACCCCGTGACCTCGACACCGTCCTTGAAAAATCTATTTTCAATTATTTTCAAATAAATCAAAATACTTTGCATATATGCTGTTAGAAAATCTTACAAACTATTTTTATATAACATTTTTTTTCAATTTTAACCCAAAAAAGTGTTATTTTGCAATTTGTTAAGAATTTTTTGATTTTTTCAATTTTTTATTATTATTTTTTATTATTTATTGTTGTTTTTTCAATTTTTAGTTAGTAACCTATAATATTGTGTCTAATTTTAAGTGTCATTAAAATCAAATGTTTTTAACTTAATAATTTTAACATTTCTTAATTTAAAACGAAACATCTTCTATTATATTAAGTTAACAAATTTCGAAAAACGACACCGACCCCGTGACCTCGACACCGTCCTTGAAAAATCTATTTTCAATTATTTTCAAATAAATCAAAATACTTTGCATATATGCTGTTAGAAAATCTTACAAACTATTTTTATGTAACATCTTTTTTCATTTTTAACCCGAAAAAGGGTAATTTTTTAATTTTAACCCGAAAAAGGGTTATTTTGCAATTTTAACCCGAAAAAGGGTTATTTTGCAATTTTTTAAGAATTTTTTGATTTTTTCAATTTTTTATTATTATTTTTTATTATTTATTGTTATTTTTTCAATTTTTAGTTAGTAACCTATAATATTGTGTCTAATTTTAAGTGTCATTAAAATCAAATGTTTTTAACTTAATAATTTTAACATTTCTTAATTTAAAACGAAACATCTTCTATTATATTAAGTTAACAAATTTCGAAAAACAACCCCGACACCGTGACCTCGACACCGTCCTTGAAAAATCTATTTTCAATTATTTTCAAATAAATCAAAATACTTTGCAAATATTCTGTTAGAAAATCTTACAAACTATTTTTATGTAACATCTTTTTTCATTTTTAACCCGAAAAAGGGTTATTTTTCAATTTGTTAAGAATTTTTTGATTTTTTCAATTTTTTATTATTATTTTTTATTATTTATTGTTGTTTTTTCAATTTTTAGTTAGTAACCTATAATATTGTGTCTAATTTTAAGTGTCATTAAAATCAAATGTTTTTAACTTAATAACTTTAACATTTCTTAATTTAAAACGAAACATCTTCTATTATATTAAGTTAACAAATTTCGAAAAACGACACCGTCCTTGAGAAATCTATTTTCAATTATTTTCAAATAAATCAAAATACTTTGCATATATGCTGTTAGAGAATCTTACAAACTATTTTTATGTAACATCTTTTTTCAATTTTAACCCAAAAAGGGTTATTTTGCAATTTTTTAAGAATTTTTTGATTTTTTCAATTTTTTATTATTATTTTTTATTATTTATTGTTGTTTTTTCAATTTTTAGTTAGTAACCTATAATATTGTGTCTAATTTTAAGTGTCATTAAAATCAAATGTTTTTAACTTAATAACTTTAAAATTTCTTAATTTAAAACGAAACATCTTCTATTATATTAAGTTAACAAATTTCGAAAAACGACACCGTCCTTGAAAAATCTATTTTCAATTATTTTCAAATAAATCAAAATACTTTGGATATATGCTGTTAGAAAATCTTACAAACTATTTTTATGTAACATCTTTTTTCAATTTTAACCCAAAAAGGGTTATTTTGCAATTTTTTAAGAATTTTTTGATTTTTTTAATTTTTTATTATTATTTTTTATTATTTATTGTTGTTTTTTCAATTTTTAGTTAGTAACCTATAATATTGTGTCTAATTTTAAGTGTCATTAAAATCAAATTTTTTTAACTTAATAATTTTAACATTTCTTAATTTAAAACGAAACATCTTCTATTATATTAAGTTAACAAATTTCGAAAAACGACACCGACCCCGTGACCTCGACACCGTCCTTGAAAAATCTATTTTCAATTATTTTCAAATAAATCAAAATACTTTGCATATATGCTGTTAGAAAATCTTACAAACTATTTTTATGTAACATCTTTTTTCATTTTTAACCCGAAAAAGGGTTATTTTTCAATTTTAACCCGAAAAAGGGTTATTTTGCAATTTTAACCCGAAAAAGGATTATTTTGCAATTTTTTAAGAATTTTTTGATTTTGTCATTTTTTTATTATTATTTTTTATTATTTATTGTTGTTTTTTCAATTTTTAGTTAGTAACCTATAATATTGTGTCTAATTTTAAGTGTCATTAAAATCAAATGTTTTTAACTTAATAATTTTAACATTTCTTAATTTAAAACGAAACATCTTCTATTATATTAAGTTAACAAATTTCGAAAAACGACACCGACCCAGTGACCTCGACACCGTCCTTGAGAAATCTATTTTCAATTATTTTCAAATAAATCAAAATACTTTGCATATATGCTGTTAGAAAATCTTACAAACTATTTTTATATAACATCTTTTTTCAATTTTAACCCAAAAAAGGGTTATTTTGCAATTTGTTAAGAATTTTTTGATTTTTTCAATTTTTTATTATTATTTTTTATTATTTATTGTTGTTTTTTCAATTTTTAGTTAGTAACCTATAATATTGTGTCTAATTTTAAGTGTCATTAAAATCAAATGTTTTTAACTTAATAATTTTAACATTTCTTAATTTAAAACGAAACATCTTCTATTATATTAAGTTAACAAATTTCGACAAACGACACCGACCCCGTGACCTCGAAACCGTCCTTGAAAAATCTATTTTCAATTATTTTCAAATAAATCAAAATACTTTGCATATATGGTGTTAGAAAATCTTACAAACTATTTTTATGTAACATCTTTTTTTAATTTAACCCGAAAAAGGGTTATTTTTCAATTTTAACCCGAAAAAGGGTTATTTTGCTATTTTTTAAGAATTTTTTGATTTTTTAAATTTTTTATTATTATTTTTTATTATTTATTGTTATTTTTTCAATTTTTAGTTAGTAACCTATAATATTGTGTCTAATTTTAAGTGTCATTAAAATCAAATGTTTTTAACTTAATAATTTTAACATTTCTTAATTTAAAACGAAACATCTTCTATTATATTAAGTTAACAAATTTCGAAAAACAACCCCGACACCGTGACCTCGACACCGTCCTTGAAAAATCTATTTTCAATTATTTTCAAATAAATCAAAATACTTTGCATATATGCTGTTAGAAAATCTTACAAACTATTTTTATGTAACATCTTTTTTCAATTTTAACCCGAAAAAGGGTTATTTTTCAATTTTAACCCAAAAAAGGGTTATTTTGCAATTTTTTAAGAATTTTTTGATTTTTTCAATTTTTTATTATTATTTTTTATTATTTATTGTTGTTTTTTCAATTTTTAGTTAGTAACCTATAATATTGTGTCTAATTTTAAGTGTCATTAAAATCAAATGTTTTTAACTTAATAACTTTAACATTTCTTAATTTAAAACGAAACATCTTCAATTATATTAAGTTAACAAATTTCGAAAAACGACACCGTTCTTGAGAAATCTATTTTCAATTATTTTCAAATAAATCAAAATACTTTGCATATATGCTGTTAGAAAATCTTACAAACTATTTTTATGTAACATCTTTTTTCATTTTTAACCCGAAAAAGGGTTATTTTTCAATTTTAACCCGAAAAAGGGTTATTTTGCAATTTTAACCCGAAAAAGGATTATTTTGCAATTTTTTAAGAATTTTTTGATTTTGTCATTTTTTTATTATTATTTTTTATTATTTATTGTTGTTTTTTCAATTTTTAGTTATTAACCTATAATATTGTGTCTAATTTTAAGTGTCATTAAAATCAAATGTTTTTAACTTAATAATTTTAACATTTCTTAATTTAAAACGAAACATCTTCTATTATATTAAGTTAACAAATTTCGAAAAACGACACCGACCCCGTGACCTCGACACCGTCCTTGAAAAATCTATTTTCAATTATTTTCAAATAAATCAAAATACTTTGCATATATGCTGTTAGAAAATCTTACAAACTATTTTTATGTAACATCTTTTTTCAATTTTAACCCAAAAAAGGGTTATTTTGCAATTTGTTAAGAATTTTTTGATTTTTTCAATTTTTTATTATTATTTTTTATTATTTATTGTTGTTTTTTCAATTTTTAGTTAGTAACCTATAATATTGTGTCTAATTTTAAGTGTCATTAAAATCAAATGTTTTTAACTTAATAATTTTAACATTTCTTAATTTAAAACGAAACATCTTCTATTATATTAAGTTAACAAATTTCGAAAAACGACACCGACCCCGTGACCTCGACACCGTCCTTGAAAAATCTATTTTCAATTATTTTCAAATAAATCAAAATACTTTGCATATATGCTGTTAGAAAATCTTACAAACTATTTTTATGTAACATCTTTTTTTAATTTAACCCGAAAAAGGGTTATTTTTCAATTTTAACCCGAAGAAGGGTTATTTTTCAATTTTAACCCGAAAAAGGGTTATTTTGCTATTTTTTAAGAATTTTTTGATTTTTTAAATTTTTTATTATTATTTTTTATTATTTATTGTTATTTTTTCAATTTTTAGTTAGTAACCTATAATATTGTGTCTAATTTTAAGTGTCATTAAAATCAAATGTTTTTAACTTAATAATTTTAACATTTCTTAATTTAAAACGAAACATCTTCTATTATATTAAGTTAACAAATTTCGAAAAACAACCCGACACCGTGACCTCGACACCGTCCTTGAAAAATCTATTTTCAATTATTTTCAAATAAATCAAAATACTTTGCAAATATTCTGTTAGAAAATCTTACAAACTATTTTTATGTAACATCTTTTTTCATTTTTAACCCGAAAAAGGGTTATTTTTCAATTTGTTAAGAATTTTTTGATTTTTTCAATTTTTTATTATTATTTTTTATTATTTATTGTTGTTTTTTCAATTTTTAGTTAGTAACCTATAATATTGTGTCTAATTTTACGTGTCATTAAAATCAAATGTTTTTAACTTAATAACTTTAACATTTCTTAATTTAAAACGAAACATCTTCTATTATATTAAGTTAACAAATTTCGAAAAACGACACCGTCCTTGAGAAATCTATTTTCAATTATTTTCAAATAAATCAAAATACTTTGCATATATGCTGTTAGAGAATCTTACAAACTATTTTTATGTAACATCTTTTTTCAATTTTAACCCAAAAAGGGTTATTTTGCAATTTTTTAAGAATTTTTTGATTTTTTCAATTTTTTATTATTATTTTTTATTATTTATTGTTGTTTTTTCAATTTTTAGTTAGTAACCTATAATATTGTGTCTAATTTTAAGTGTCATTAAAATCAAATGTTTTTAACTTAATAACTTTAAAATTTCTTAATTTAAAACGAAACATCTTCTATTATATTAAGTTAACAAATTTCGAAAAACGACACCGTCCTTGAAAAATCTATTTTCAATTATTTTCAAATAAATCAAAATACTTTGGATATATGCTGTTAGAAAATCTTACAAACTATTTTTATGTAACATCTTTTTTCAATTTTAACCCAAAAAGGGTTATTTTGCAATTTTTTAAGAATTTTTTGATTTTTTTAATTTTTTATTATTATTTTTTATTATTTATTGTTGTTTTTTCAATTTTTAGTTAGTAACCTATAATATTGTGTCTAATTTTAAGTGTCATTAAAATCAAATTTTTTTTAACTTAATAATTTTAACATTTCTTAATTTAAAACGAAACATCTTCTATTATATTAAGTTAACAAATTTCGAAAAACGACACCGACCCCGTGACCTCGACACCGTCCTTGAAAAATCTATTTTCAATTATTTTCAAATAAATCAAAATACTTTGCATATATGCTGTTAGAAAATCTTACAAACTATTTTTATGTAACATCTTTTTTCATTTTTAACCCGAAAAAGGGTTATTTTTCAATTTTAACCCGAAAAAGGGTTATTTTGCAATTTTAACCCGAAAAAGGATTATTTTGCAATTTTTTAAGAATTTTTTGATTTTGTCATTTTTTTATTATTATTTTTTATTATTTATTGTTGTTTTTTCAATTTTTAGTTAGTAACCTATAATATTGTGTCTAATTTTAAGTGTCATTAAAATCAAATGTTTTTAACTTAATAATTTTAACATTTCTTAATTTAAAACGAAACATCTTCTATTATATTAAGTTAACAAATTTCGAAAAACGACACCGACCCAGTGACCTCGACACCGTCCTTGAGAAATCTATTTTCAATTATTTTCAAATAAATCAAAATACTTTGCATATATGCTGTTAGAAAATCTTACAAACTATTTTTATATAACATCTTTTTTCAATTTTAACCCAAAAAAGGGTTATTTTGCAATTTGTTAAGAATTTTTTGATTTTTTCAATTTTTTATTTTTATTTTTTATTATTTATTGTTGTTTTTTCAATTTTTAGTTAGTAACCTATAATATTGTGTCTAATTTTAAGTGTCATTAAAATCAAATGTTTTTAACTTAATAATTTTAACATTTCTTAATTTAAAACGAAACATCTTCTATTATATTAAGTTAACAAATTTCGACAAACGACACCGACCCCGTGACCTCGAAACCGTCCTTGAAAAATCTATTTTCAATTATTTTCAAATAAATCAAAATACTTTGCATATATGGTGTTAGAAAATCTTACAAACTATTTTTATGTAACATCTTTTTTTAATTTAACCCGAAAAAGGGTTATTTTTCAATTTTAACCCGAAGAAGGGTTATTTTTCAATTTTAACCCGAAAAAGGGTTATTTTGCTATTTTTTAAGAATTTTTTGATTTTTTAAATTTTTTATTATTATTTTTTATTATTTATTGTTATTTTTTCAATTTTTAGTTAGTAACCTATAATATTGTGTCTAATTTTAAGTGTCATTAAAATCAAATGTTTTTAACTTAATAATTTTAACATTTCTTAATTTAAAACGAAACATCTTCTATTATATTAAGTTAACAAATTTCGAAAAACGACACCGTCCTTGAAAAATCTATTTTCAATTATTTTCAAATAAATCAAAATACTTTGGATATATGCTGTTAGAAAATCTTACAAACTATTTTTATGTAACATCTTTTTTCAATTTTAACCCAAAAAGGGTTATTTTGCAATTTTTTAAGAATTTTTTGATTTTGTCAATTTTTTATTATTATTTTTTATTATTTATTGTTGTTTTTTCAATTTTTAGTTAGTAACCTAAAATATTGTGTCTGATTTTAAGTGTCATTAAAATCAAATGTTTTTAACTTAATAATTTTAACATTTCTTAATTTAAAACGAAACATCTTCTATTACACAGGCACACAAAAAAAAAAAGTTGTCTGTTTCTTGAACTACACATATATTTCCTATAGTATTTTGGCCCGCTGAAACCGAATCTGAGCTCAGAATTGCTCCATCACCCTCAGTTTTTTTTTAAATCGACCAAAACCACCCTTAAACGGACAAATTCACACTTCGGAGATAAAAAATAAATCAACTTATTTTTTAAAAAAACCAAATTTTACATCTACGAAACTTTGCTCCACTAACTCAAAAACAGAGCCAGCATTGATCCAGCACCCCCTGAATTTTTTTAATCGAAAAAAGTACCCCTAATCTGAAGAATCAAATTCAGGAGGTAAAACAATAAAATAACTTATTAAAAAATTTTATAACCAGATATTTTTACTCCAGCAATGCAGAAACAAAGCCAGAAATGCTCCCTCACCCTCTAAAATTTTTTTAAATCGAAAAAACCACCCTTAAATAGAAAAATTCAAATTTAAGAAGTAAAAAATATTAAATTACCGGCTTTTTTTAAAAACAGAACCTTACATGTTTGTAGTTTTGCTCTACTAATTAAAAAAAATAAAGCCAGCATTGACCCATCACCCTCTGAATTTTTTTAATCGAAAAAACTACCCCTAATCTGAAGAATCAAATTCAGGAGATAAAACAACAAAATAACTGATTGACAAATTTTATAAGCAGATATTTTTACTCCAGCAATGCAGAAACAAAGCCAGAAATGCTCCCTCACCCTCTAAAATTTTTTTAAATCGAAAAAACCACCCTTAAATAGAAAAATTCAAATTTAAGAAATAAAAAAATATTAAATTACCGGCTTTTTTTAAAAACAGAACCTTACATGTTTGTAGTTTTGCTCTACTAACTCAAAAAAATAAAGCTAGCATTGATCCATCACCCTCTGAATTTTTTTAAATAAAAAAAACTACCCTTAATCTGAAGAATCAAACTTAGGAGGTAAAACAATAAAATAACTGATTAAAATTTTATAACTAGGTATTTTTACTCCAGCAATGCGGAAACATACCTGGCTGTAAAATTTTTCAATTAGTTATTTTGTTGTTTTATCTCCTGAATTTGATTCTTCAGATTAGGGGTAGTTTTTTCGATTAAAAAAAATCAGGGGGTGCTGGATCAATGATGGCTTTGTTTTTTTGAGTTAGTAGAGCAAAACTATAAAATGTAAGGTTCTGTTTTTAAAAAAAGCCGGTAATTTAATATTTTTTTACTTCTTAAATTTGAATTTTTCTATTAAAGGGTGGTTTTTTCGATTTAAAAAAATTTTAGAGGGTGAGGGAGCATTTCTGGCTTTGTTTCTGCATTGCTGGAGTAAAAATATCTGGTTATAAAATTTTTTGATCAGTTATTTTATTGTTTTACCTCCTGAATTTGATTCTTCAGATTAGGGGTAGTTTTTTCGATTAAAAAAATTCAGGGGGTGCTGGATCAATGCTGGCTCTGTTTTTGAGTTAGTGGAGCAAAGTTTCGTAGATGTAAAATTTGGTTTTTTTAAAAAATAAGTTGATTTATTTTTTATCTCCGAAGTGTGAATTTGTCCGTTTAAGGGTGGTTTTGGTCGATTTAAAAAAAAACTGAGGGTGATGGAGCAATTCTGAGCTCAGATTCGGTTTCAGCGGGCCAAAATACTATAGGAAATATATGTGTAGTTCAAGAAACAGACAACTTTTTTTTTTTGTGTGCCTGTGTAATAGAAGATGTTTCGTTTTAAATTAAGAAATGTTAAAATTATTAAGTTAAAAACATTTGATTTTAATGACACTTAAAATCAGACACAATATTTTAGGTTACTAACTAAAAATTGAAAAAACAACAATAAATAATAAAAAATAATAATAAAAAATTGACAAAATCAAAAAATTCTTAAAAAATTGCAAAATAACCCTTTTTGGGTTAAAATTGAAAAAAGATGTTACATAAAAATAGTTTGTAAGATTTTCTAACAGCATATATCCAAAGTATTTTGATGTAACATCTTTTTTCAATTTTAACCCGAAAAAGGGTTATTTTTCAATTTTAACCCAAAAAAGGGTTATTTTGCAATTTTTTAAGAATTTTTTGATTTTTTCAATTTTTTATTATTATTTTTTATTATTTATTGTTGTTTTTTCAATTTTTAGTTAGTAACCTATACTATTGTGTCTAATTTTAAGTGTCATTAAAATCAAATGTTTTTAACTTAATAATTTTAACATTTCTTAATTTAAAACGAAACATCTTCTATTATATTAAGGTAACAAATTTCGAAAAACGACACCGACCCCGTGACCTCGACACCGTCCTTGAAAAATCTATTTTCAATTATTTTCAAATAAATCAAAATACTTTGCATATATGCTGTTAGAAAATCTTACAAACTTTTTTTATGTAACATCGTTTTTCAATTTTAACCCGAAAAAGGGTTATTTTGCAATTTTTTAAGAATTTTTTGATTTTTTCAATTTTTCATTATTATTTTTTATTATTTATTGTTGTTTTTTCAATTTTTAGTTAGTAACCTATAATATTGTGTCTAATTTTAAGTGTCATTAAAATCAAATGTTTTTAACTTAATAATTTTAACATTTCTTAATTTAAAACGAAACATCTTCTATTATATTAAGTTAACAAATTTCGAAAAACGACACCGACCCAGTGACCTCGACACCGTCCTTGAGAAATCTATTTTCAATTATTTTCAAATAAATCAAAATACTTTGCATATATGCTGTTAGAAAATCTTACAAACTATTTTTATATAACATCTTTTTTCAATTTTAACCCAAAAAAGGGTTATTTTGCAATTTGTTAAGAATTTTTTGATTTTTTCAATTTTTTATTTTTATTTTTTATTATTTATTGTTGTTTTTTCAATTTTTAGTTAGTAACCTATAATATTGTGTCTAATTTTAAGTGTCATTAAAATCAAATGTTTTTAACTTAATAATTTTAACATTTCTTAATTTAAAACGAAACATCTTCTATTATATTAAGTTAACAAATTTCGACAAACGACACCGACCCCGTGACCTCGAAACCGTCCTTGAAAAATCTATTTTCAATTATTTTCAAATAAATCAAAATACTTTGCATATATGGTGTTAGAAAATCTTACAAACTATTTTTATGTAACATCTTTTTTTAATTTAACCCGAAAAAGGGTTATTTTTCAATTTTAACCCGAAGAAGGGTTATTTTTCAATTTTAACCCGAAAAAGGGTTATTTTGCTATTTTTTAAGAATTTTTTGATTTTTTAAATTTTTTATTATTATTTTTTATTATTTATTGTTATTTTTTCAATTTTTAGTTAGTAACCTATAATATTGTGTCTAATTTTAAGTGTCATTAAAATCAAATGTTTTTAACTTAATAATTTTAACATTTCTTAATTTAAAACGAAACATCTTCTATTATATTAAGTTAACAAATTTCGAAAAACAACCCCGACACCGTGACCTCGACACCGTCCTTGAAAAATCTATTTTCAATTATTTTCAAATAAATCAAAATACTTTGCATATATGCTGTTAGAAAATCTTACAAACTATTTTTATGTAACATCTTTTTTCAATTTTAACCCGAAAAAGGGTTATTTTTCAATTTTAACCCAAAAAAGGGTTATTTTGCAATTTTTTAAGAATTTTTTGATTTTTTCAATTTTTTATTATTATTTTTTATTATTTATTGTTGTTTTTTCAATTTTTAGTTAGTAAACTATAATATTGTGTCTAATTTTAAGTGTCATTAAAATCAAATGTTTTTAACTTAATAACTTTAACATTTCTTAATTTAAAACGAAACATCTTCAATTATATTAAGTTAACAAATTTCGAAAAACGACACCGTTCTTGAGAAATCTATTTTCAATTATTTTCAAATAAATCAAAATACTTTGCATATATGCTGTTAGAAAATCTTACAAACTTTTTTTATGTAACATCGTTTTTCAATTTTAACCCAAAAAGGGTTATTTTGCAATTTTTTAAGAATTTTTTGATTTTTTTAATTTTTTATTATTATTTTTTATTATTTATTGTTGTTATTTCAATTTTTAGTTAGTAACCTATAATATTGTGTCTAATTTTAAGTGTCATTAAAATCAAATGTTTTTAACTTAATAACTTTAACATTTCTTAATTTAAAACGAAACATCTTCTATTATATTAAGTTAACAAATTTCGAAAAACAACACCGACCCCGTGACCTCGACACCGTCCTTGAAAAATCTATTTTCAATTATTTTCAAATAAATCAAAATACTTTGCATATATGCTGTTAGAAAATCTTACAAACTATTTTTATGTAACATCTTTTTTCATTTTTAACCCGAAAAAGGGTTATTTTTCAATTTTAACCCAAAAAAGGGTTATTTTGCCATTTTTTAAGAATTTTTTGATTTTTTCAATTTTTTATTATTATTTTTTATTATTTATTGTTTTATTTTCAATTTTTAGTTAGTAACCTATAATATTGTGTCTAATTTTAAGTGTCATTAAAATCAAATGTTTTTAACTTAATAATTTTAACATTTCTTAATTTAAAACGAAACATCTTCTATTATATTAAGTTAACAAATTTCGAAAAACGACACCGACCCAGTGACCTCGACACCGTCCTTGAGAAATCTATTTTCAATTATTTTCAAATAAATCAAAATACTTTGCATATATGCTGTTAGAAAATCTTACAAACTATTTTTATATAACATCTTTTTTCAATTTTAACCCAGAAAAGGGTTATTTTGCAATTTGTTAAGAATTTTTTGATTTTTTCAATTTTTTATTATTATTTTTTATTATTTATTGTTGTTTTTTCAATTTTTAGTTAGTAACCTATAATATTGTGTCTAATTTTAAGTGTCATTAAAATCAAATGTTTTTAACTTAATAACTTTAACATTTCTTAATTTAAAACGAAACATCTTCTATTATATTAAGTTAACAAATTTCGAAAAACGACACCGTCCTTGAAAAATCTATTTTCAATTATTTTCAAATAAATCAAAATACTTTGGATATATGCTGTTAGAAAATCTTACAAACTATTTTTATGTAACATCTTTTTTCAATTTTAACCCAAAAAGGGTTATTTTGCAATTTTTTAAGAATTTTTTGATTTTGTCAATTTTTTATTATTATTTTTTATTATTTATTGTTGTTTTTTCAATTTTTAGTTAGTAACCTAAAATATTGTGTCTAATTTTAAGTGTCATTAAAATCAAATGTTTTTAACTTAATAATTTTAACATTTCTTAATTTAAAACGAAACATCTTCTATTACACAGGCACACAAAAAAAAAAAGTTGTCTGTTTCTTGAACTACACATATATTTCCTATAGTATTTTGGCCCGCTGAAACCGAATCTGAGCTCAGAATTGCTCCATCACCCTCAGTTTTTTTTTAAATCGACCAAAACCACCCTTAAACGGACAAATTCACACTTCGGAGATAAAAAATAAATCAACTTATTTTTTAAAAAAACCAAATTTTACATCTACGAAACTTTGCTCCACTAACTCAAAAACAGAGCCAGCATTGATCCAGCACCCCCTGAATTTTTTTAATCGAAAAAAGTACCCCTAATCTGAAGAATCAAATTCAGGAGGTAAAACAATAAAATAACTGATTAAAAAATTTTATAACCAGATATTTTTACTCCAGCAATGCAGAAACAAAGCCAGAAATGCTCCCTCACCCTCTAAAATTTTTTTAAATCGAAAAAACCACCCTTAAATAGAAAAATTCAAATTTAAGAAGTAAAAAAATATTAAATTACCGGCTTTTTTTAAAAACAGAACCTTACATGTTTGTAGTTTTGCTCTACTAATTAAAAAAAATAAAGCCAGCATTGACCCATCACCCTCTGAATTTTTTTAATCGAAAAAACTACCCCTAATCTGAAGAATCAAATTCAGGAGATAAAACAACAAAATAACTGATTGACAAATTTTATAAGCAGATATTTTTACTCCAGCAATGCAGAAACAAAGCCAGAAATGCTCCCTCACCCTCTAAAATTTTTTTAAATCGAAAAAACCACCCTTAAATAGAAAAATTCAAATTTAAGAAATAAAAAAATATTAAATTACCGGCTTTTTTTAAAAACAGAACCTTACATGTTTGTAGTTTTGCTCTACTAACTCAAAAAAATAAAGCTAGCATTGATCCATCACCCTCTGAATTTTTTTAAGTAAAAAAAACTACCCTTAATCTGAAGAATCAAACTTAGGAGGTAAAACAATAAAATAACTGATTAAAATTTTATAACTAGGTATTTTTACTCCAGCAATGCGGAAACATACCTGGCTGTAAAATTTTTCAATTAGTTATTTTGTTGTTTTATCTCCTGAATTTGATTCTTCAGATTAGGGGTAGTTTTTTCGATTAAAAAAATTCAGAGGGTGATGGGTCAATGCTGGCTTTATTTTTTTTAATTAGTAGAGCAAAACTACAAACATGTAAGGTTCTGTTTTAAAAAAAAAAAAGGTAATTTAATATTTTTTTACTTCTTAAATTTGAATTTTTCTATTTAAGGGTGGTTTTTTCGATTTAAAAAAATTTTAGAGTGTGAGGGAGCATTTCTGGCTTTGTTTCTGCATTGCTGGAGTAAAAATATCTGGTTATAAAATTTTTTAATCAGTTATTTTATTGTTTTACCTCCTGAATTTGATTCTTCAGATTAGGGGTACTTTTTTCGATTAAAAAAATTCAGGGGGTGCTGGATCAATGCTGGCTTTGTTTTTTTGAGTTAGTAGAGCAAAACTATAAAATGTAAGGTTCTGTTTTTAAAAAAAGCCGGTAATTTAATATTTTTTTACTTCTTAAATTTGAATTTTTCTATTAAAGGGTGGTTTTTTCGATTTAAAAAAATTTTAGAGGGTGAGGGAGCATTTCTGGCTTTGTTTCTGCATTGCTGGAGTAAAAATATCTGGTTATAAAATTTTTTGATCAGTTATTTTATTGTTTTACCTCCTGAATTTGATTCTTCAGATTAGGGGTAGTTTTTTCGATTAAAAAAATTCAGGGGGTGCTGGATCAATGCTGGCTCTGTTTTTGAGTTAGTGGAGCAAAGTTTCGTAGATGTAAAATTTTGTTTCTTAAAAAAATAAGTTGATTTATTTTTTATCTCCGAAGTGTGAATTTGTCCGTTTAAGGGTGGTTTTGGTCGATTTAAAAAAAAAACTGAGGGTGATGGAGCAATTCTGAGCTCAGATTCGGTTTCAGCGGGCCAAAATACTATAGGAAATATATGTGTAGTTCAAGAAACAGGCAACTTTTTTTTTTTTGTGTGCCTGTGTTATATTAAGTTAACAAATTTCGAATAACAACCCCGACCCCGTGACCTCGACACCGTCCTTGAAAAATCTATTTTCAATTATTTTCAAATAAATCAAAATACTTTGCATATATGCTGTTAGAAAATCTTACAAACTATTTTTATGTAACATCTTTTTTCAATTTTAACCCGAAAAAGGGTTATTTTTCAATTTTAACCCAAAAAAGGGTTATTTTGCAATTTTTTAAGAATTTTTTGATTTTTTCAATTTTTTATTATTATTTTTTATTATTTATTGTTGTTTTTTCAATTTTTAGTTAGTAACCTATACTATTGTGTCTAATTTTAAGTGTCATTAAAATCAAATGTTTTTAACTTAATAATTTTAACATTTCTTAATTTAAAACGAAACATCTTCTATTATATTAAGGTAACAAATTTCGAAAAACGACACCGACCCCGTGACCTCGACACCGTCCTTGAAAAATCTATTTTCAATTATTTTCAAATAAATCAAAATACTTTGCATATATGCTGTTAGAAAATCTTACAAACTTTTTTTATGTAACATTGTTTTTCAATTTTAACCCGAAAAAGGGTTATTTTGCAATTTTTTAAGAATTTTTTGATTTTTTCAATTTTTCATTATTATTTTTTATTATTTATTGTTGTTTTTTCAATTTTTAGTTAGTAACCTATAATATTGTGTCTAATTTTAAGTGTCATTAAAATCAAATGTTTTTAACTTAATAATTTTAACATTTCTTAATTTAAAACGAAACATCTTCTATTATATTAAGTTAACAAATTTCGAAAAACGACACCGACCCCGTGACCTCGACACCGTCCTTGAAAAATCTATTTTCAATTATTTTCAAATAAATCAAAATACTTTGCATATATGCTGTTAGAAAATCTTACAAACTATTTTTATGTAACATCTTTTTTCAATTTTAACCCGAAAAAGGATTATTTTTCAATTTTAACCCAAAAAAGGGTTATTTTGCAATTTTTTAAGAATTTTTTGATTTTTTCAATTTTTTATTATTATTTTTTATTATTTATTGTTGTATTTTCAATTTTTAGTTAGTAACCTATAATATTGTGTCTAATTTTAAGTGTCATTAAAATCAAATGTTTTTAACTTAATAATTTTAACATTTCTTAATTTAAAACGAAACATCTTCTATTATATTAAGTTAACAAATTTCGAAAAACGACACCGACCCCGTGACCTCGACACCGTCCTTGAAAAATCTATTTTCAATTATTTTCAAATAAATCAAAATACTTTGCATATATTCTGTTAGAAAATCTTACAAACTATTTTTATGTAACATCTTTTTTCATTTTTAACCCGAAAAAGGGTTATTTTTCAATTTTAACCCGAAAGAGGATTATTTTGCAATTTTTTAAGAATTTTTTGATTTTGTCATTTTTTTATTATTATTTTTTATTATTTATTGTTGTTTTTTCAATTTTTAGTTAGTAACCTATAATATTGTGTCTAATTTTAAGTGTCATTAAAATCAAATGTTTTTAACTTAATAATTTTAACATTTCTTAATTTAAAACGAAACATCTTCTATTATATTAAGTTAACAAATTTCGAAAAACGACACCGACCCCGTGACCTCGACACCGTCCTTGAAAAATCTATTTTCAATTATTTTCAAATAAATCAAAATACTTTGCGTATATTCTGTTAGAAAATCTTACAAACTATTTTTATGTAACATCTTTTTTCATTTTTAACCCGAAAAAGGGTTATTTTGCAATTTTTTAAGAATTTTTTGATTTTTTCAATTTTTTATTATTATTTTTTATTATTTATTGTTGTATTTTCAATTTTTAGTTAGTAACCTATAATATTGTGTCTAATTTTAAGTGTCATTAAAATCAAATGTTTTTAACTTAATAATTTTAACATTTCTTAATTTAAAACGAAACATCTTCTATTATATTAAGTTAACAAATTTTGAAAAACGACACCGACCCCGTGACCTCGACACCGTCCTTGAAAAATCTATTTTCAATTATTTTCAAATAAATCAAAATACTTTGCATATATGCTGTTAGAAAATCTTACAAACTATTTTTATGTAACATCTTTTTTCAATTTTAACCCGAAAAAGGGTTATTTTTCAATTTTAACCCAAAAAATGGTTATTTTGCAATTTTTTAAGAATTTTTTGATTTTTTCAATTTTTTATTATTATTTTTTATTATTTATTGTTGTATTTTCAATTTTTAGTTAGTAACCTATAATATTGTGTCTAATTTTAAGTGTCATTAAAATCAAATGTTTTTAACTTAATAATTTTAACATTTCTTAATTTAAAACGAAACATCTTCTATTATATTAAGTTAACAAATTTCGAAAAACGACACCGACCCCGTGACCTCGACACCGTCCTTGAAAAATCTATTTTCAATTATTTTCAAATAAATCAAAATACTTTGCGTATATTCTGTTAGAAAATCTTACAAACTATTTTTATGTAACATCTTTTTTCAATTTTAACCCGAAAAAGGGTTATTTTTCAATTTTAACCCAAAAAATGGTTATTTTGCAATTTTTTAAGAATTTTTTGATTTTTTCAATTTTTTATTATTATTTTTTATTATTTATTGTTGTATTTTCAATTTTTAGTTAGTAACCTATAATATTGTGTCTAATTTTAAGTGTCATTAAAATCAAATGTTTTTAACTTAATAATTTTAACATTTCTTAATTTAAAACGAAACATCTTCTATTATATTAAGTTAACAAATTTCGAAAAACGACACCGACCCCGTGACCTCGACACCGTCTTTGAAAAATCTATTTTCAATTATTTTCAAATAAATCAAAATACTTTGCGTATATTCTGTTAGAAAATCTTACAAACTATTTTTATGTAACATCTTTTTTCATTTTTAACCCGAAAAAGGGTTATTTTGCAATTTTTTAAGAATTTTTTGATTTTTTCAATTTTTTATTATTATTTTTTATTATTTATTGTTGTATTTTCAATTTTTAGTTAGTAACCTATAATATTGTGTCTAATTTTAAGTGTCATTAAAATCAAATGTTTTTAACTTAATAATTTTAACATTTCTTAATTTAAAACGAAACATCTTCTATTATATTAAGTTAACAAATTTCGAAAAACGACACCGACCCCGTGACCTCGACACCGTCCTTCAAAAATCTATTTTCAATTATTTTCAAAAAAATCAAAATACTTTGCATATATGTGATAAATGCATTAAAATTCATTATAGATAAATTAAAATCCATTAACTTTTGTCATAGTTATACGGATTTGAAAATGACAATGTTACCCTTAACGTCAAAACTTCAACCCCCTCCACTTTCTACAAATATTTTTTTAATGAGTTTATATTTTAGGGATTTATTACTATCATATAGGAGAACAATTTACCAAAGTATGAAGCCAATCCCAGAACATTGACTTTTTGGGCTGGGGCGATTGAAAAATAATCTCTCATATATGCTGTTAGAAAATCTTACAAACTATTTTTTTTTATAAGTCCAAAAAAATTAGAGACTTAGAAAAATATTGATTTTTTTATTTTTAATACTTAATTTTCATTTACAATAATGTAAAGTTATAATATGTTTTAACTTATTCATCGCATCCATTCTGCAATTTTCGTAAGTTGTTTTATTTCTTATTAATTTTTAAATTAATTTTTTATAATTTAGTTTTATATGAGTGATGTTATTAATAAATTATTATAATTTATTATATTATTTTCTTGATGTTACGCAGCCGTTACTACTCAGCGCAGCCAGTTTACAGTTTTTGTTATTACTTGATTATATTTTATATATTTTTGTTAATGAGGGAGTATATTTTATATATTTTTTTTTTAAATGGTTTTTTAATCCATTCTATGCGATATGATCAGTATAATAATAATTATAATATTTTTTTATGGCGCTGCCGTTACAGTTCAGCGCAGCCATTTCCAATTCAATGAATTAATTTATATATAAAGTAGAGTTAGTAGATTTCTTCGTAGTCGAATTTTTTTAAAACATGTGTTAAATATTATTGTAATATTTCTTGGTAAACAAAGTTTCTTACATAAATTTCTTTTTCATTGCCTATCTTTTTTTTTATTCCTTTTTCGCTATGTGTAATACTTGAATTTTTATATAATAATACTTTAAGATTATATTTTGAAGTTACTCTTGATAAAGCAACATATAATTGTCACGGACTAAAAACATGTGAAGGAAGGTATATGCCTACTTTTTGGAAAGATTGGCCTTGAGATTTGTTGATTGTTAAAGCATATCCAAGCCTTATTGGAAATTGCTTTCTTGACATTTGAAATGGTATTTCTTCGTTAGACGGTGACAATGTAATTCGTGGCAAAATTACAATCTCATTTTTATAATTTCCCGTTATTACTTGTGCATGAATAGAAAAACTACCCATTTTAATAACTTTTAGTCTTGTTCCATTACAAAGACCTCTTTCTAAATTAATATTCCTTAAAAGTATCACAATTGCACCAATCTTTAATATTAATTTGTAAGGAGGAAGTCCATTTGGAGTTAAACTATTTAATACTTCAATTGGTATTAAGTTAGTTATTGTGTCACACTTTTCATCTTCTTCAGATGAATCTATACTTAAATATTCTCTAGGTTCACCTGTCATTCGTTTAACAACATCATTATTTAATTCAAATACATCATTATTCCGAAGAACTAGTAATATATGTAAAATCAAACAAGAATCTCTTTATAACGGTTTACTATAGATAATAAAAATAAAAACCGATATTTTAAAAAGTATTTCGATTTATTACGAATATTTTTCACAAAAATTTGCAAAATCTACATGTGTTTGTGGGACAATTTACATCAATATAATATAATATAATATAATTTAATATAAAAAAAATATATTATAATATAATATAATTAATATTGTTGTCATAATTATAATAAAAAAAATCTAATATTTAACAATTGTCATTTCATCCTTCAATGAATAAACCTTGCCGCAACGTTCCCGAACGATAAACACCAATGTTAATCCGGATAACCTGTAAAGCATCGCGGACCATTGGTTATCCATGCGCGTACCTATGAGAATGTTATGGGATGGATATTTACGCATATATCCTTATGTTCATACTTATATATTATTATTATCAATGTTATTGTTTAAGATATATAATTAGTTGGATCAAATGAAACCAACCGCAAAATTTGGAATTAATTGAACCAAATTTAGGAAATTATAATTTTTGGCATCGAAATTAAAATAATTAAATAATCAGTGGAAGCTCCCCTCGCATTCCTCGGCAAAGCGCGAGAGAGAAAGAAGATACAATGTACCAGCAAATCTTTCTCTCTCAGATACATTAGAGCGTGTGTCTCTTTCCACCTAGCAGCCGTCCTAAGAGAAAAAGGAGATACATTGTACTAGCGAACCTTTCTCTCTTAGACTAACGTTTCTTTAAGCTGTATCGTTTCTCTCTTACTCCACAGACCGTTGAATGCATGGCAGTCGTTTGTTCTCGCATACTCATTTGGACTATACGCTACAGGCACCTATACATATGAGTTCGGGCTATAGGCGCTTACATGGTACGCTATATTCCACAGTACCATTACACTCTTATTCTCCTCACCTATTCTTTCTCCTTACCTCTCTTCTTCTGTCCAAGCCTACAAGCTATGCAATACAGTGCTGTCAGATTAAAAGCACGTGTATTTATTTTGAATTATGCTACTGCTCAATTCCAGATCAAAATTGGGTATGAAATTTAAAATATTTCACTCAATACTGGAATTCAAATCAAATTAAAAGATGTATTTTAAAAATTAAATATTTTTAAAGATACATATACAGTGAATGTATCAAGGATTTTCCTATAAGGAAAATTCCTATTTTCCAATTAATCATCCTTTCAGGATAATATATCAATTTTATTAATTATTTTATTGGGATTAAGCTTAATTCCAATTCTCGAAATTATTTAGCAATTTCCATTCAAATGTGAAGTCAGCTAAAAATCAGCGTAGCAACAAAGTTCAATACTCCTAACTTCCATTTCCACACGTTTTCCAAAATTCCGATTCAGCATTAATTTCCCACTTTTCATCCCTAAGTGTACCTACGAGGCGTCTCTGGCCCCTAATTCGATGTTCAGTTCGGTTTCGGCGATCGCGAAGATTAGTCGCGATATATCGATTAAAAATCCAGACGGGCCCGTCCGGTAAAAGGGACACAACTTTTCTTGCGTGCTTACCCAAGAATTGTTGGTCGGACGTAAACTAAAATTCTATATACCCGTAGTCCACGGGGCCGCTTGGAATCGTGTCGAATTAAAATATTATCGTCAAAATGGATCTTTTTGCAGTGATAATAATTTTGTGGTGACACCGGCCGGAATCGTGTAGAGCCCGCGTCCGTTTTCGATGCGAGGGTCCCAAGAAAAATCTAGCATAATTAACAAAGACAATATTTGAAGAGAAGTTTTAAGGGAAGGTCGCTTTCCTTATCTTTGTCGCCAGACCAGCCGGGTACGTGTAGGACCCGCGCCTGCCTTTGCAATTGACGAGTCAACGAATTAGAGTAAGAGGGTGGATTTGTCTGTCCCTGTCTAGTTAACGCGAAAACGACATACGGCAAACCGCTAATGCGCCACCTGAGCGAGTGTGAGAGGACACAAAATTATAATAGTTTCCTTTTTATTTTATTGAATGTTTTGCCCGTCGGAAAGTGCTTGTAAGAGGCGAGAAGGTGTTCAACTCTTGACTATCCGACGGTAGAATAAGGAACGCGGAACGGTAAGTACTCAACGTATCGTTCCGAACTAAACACAATTTTTGTTAAAATTAAACTATTTCTTTCAATGTTTTGATAATCTCTTGATAAATAAATTTGTGATTCTTTCCTAATTCTTTTCTATTTATTTCCTTTCTTTCTATTCTATCCATAACAATTTAATAAAGGAAGTCCCGGTGTATTTTCTAATTCAATCTAGAAAATATCAGCATTTTAGCGAAAACGAACCCATAAATAAAAACTTAAATCCTAAATTGGATTTAAGGCAGTTTGGACCTCCGAGAACTCTAGAAATTTGGGCCATCTCAAAAGCCTACAGTTTCTTTTAATTAATTATTTTTAAAGTAATTGATTTCTATAAACAAATGATTTCTTTGGTTCGTAACATCTAAATTGCAAAGTTAATTGAGAATCGCAATTAACATTTATTTATTTACCAACAATTAATATTACAAAATAATTCATTTGAAAATTCCATGTGACGTTTTCATACAATTTTTTTACATGGAATTTTACATTACTCACAGCCAAGACTTGCAAATGGGCAAATCCACGAAACTTTTAACTTTCAAGAAAAGAAATTTTTTTTTTTAATTTGCAGGCACATTGATGTCACTTTGTATACACGTTTAAGTACATTTTAGCACAACAAATTCATATGCGTGCTTCATTTTTAGCTCACGCCGTCAATGTTTAACTCTTTAAACTCTTTAATGTTAATAAATTACATATAAAATTGAAAAATTCAACTTTTTTTATTTTTGTTATCGGAGTGGTTTCCAAAGTATTTTCGTCCTCTGAACACGATTCTGGCACCCAAATTTGCTTAGCACGTCAGGATTTTGAGAAAACAGGGGGTAAAGACTCCAAAAAAGTGACTCCAAAAGCATATGTGTCCTGACGCGGTGAAAGGGACCTTACGGTTCCAAAGCAAATTTTACAGGAGAGGCGCTCGAAGTGTAGCACGAAAATAGACATTTGAGTAGTGGGGACGTACAACTGCAAATCAGCACCACTGCTCACCACTACAACGCTACACTCATATGTCTGTGAGCATGCTACCT